ATCGACAGAATCCTCTGTACAAGAACCTCTTCTTGTACAGGTGTAAGACGGCGATTTTTGGAGATAGCACCGCGTTGTGGAGGAATACCACGGGCGCGACGCGTAACCGTCTTTCTGGGCACATCGTATAGTTTCTCAACGCCTCGGAAGGATGTAATTTGGCCGGTCTTGTAGGCTTGAACGCCTAGAATAACTCTGCCTTATTAAAAGATGGCTTCTTGTTGTTGTGGTGCTGCCATTGGGGTGGTTGTTGGACGACGCGTCGCGTGTTAAGTTGGGTGGGCCACTAGCTTGTGCGGGCCACTAACTTGTGGATTACGTTATAGAAGTGTCTATTACTAATAAAAGTTCTAAAATTTAGTCTAAAAATAATTATAGTAAAAAAATAGAGCTTTCTAGAAAAAAAAATTAAAGCGAACTAGCTTATACTTTAGAAGTTATATAGAGTATAAATAAAAATATAGCAAATATCCGCTAGCTAGTAAAACATTTTAAAAGAAGTATAAAGTTATCTAATTAGTATATAGGTATAGAATATCGTAATAGTAAAGCAATTATTTTATTTATTTAATATACTTATTTTTTAAATTGCTTTTATAACTTTATATTATCTAGCGTCTTTTTTTATATAGCGGAAAACCTTCTATACCGGAATAAATCTATTATTTAGGTATTCTAACTTTTTCCCTCGTAATTCTATCGACTTATAGTTAGTGCGCTGTAATTATTTAGCTATTTCTACTTAGGAAACTAGTATATAGCCTAAAAAATACAACGCTTTTAATTATACTATCGATTATTCCTTTTAGAGTATCTAGAACTATATTAGCGTTGTATTTCTACTATACTATAACTATTTATAATATTTTTAACTTCGGAGTATTAAATAAGTAGTTCTATAATAAAAAAAGATAATTCTAAGCTTTAAAGATACTTAACCCTAAAAAGTATACGCTCCGGATTTATCCGTGCGAAGGGGTCTAAAGTATGTCTTAGTATAAGGCTTAAGCGCGCTTACGTGGTGCGGTATTAGATATCTAGCTAGCTGTAATGTATTTTACGCTATGCCAAACTAATGCGAGTGTAGCGCGCAAAACGACCCCGCACGCTCTACGTGATAACCAGGATGTAATTTGCTTACGTCAATTAAGCGAAGCCTAACTAGCCTGTGGCTATGCCCCGCAGCCTTGCGATCCAATACACCTTTGGCTATGCATCCGGTTAACCAACTTAACTCTTTAAGAACAGCTAACTTACAGATCTCGCCACCTTACAAAAGTGTGACCAGTGCGGGTCGGCACCCTCTATGCTAGTGTTATCGATGCGTTTGTCTGCCCTAAAAGATATAAGCGCATTTGTCTTGTTGCTTGCAAGTTCGCCTTCCGCAGTCTAATGGATGCATGTTAGTCTTGCCGCGCCACACTGTAGGCTGTGCTATTAGCCGCACCCCTTTACACTTCTGTGTGATTCGGACGTTCCACGAGAGTTATGGTGCGGGCCGGCTACCCTCGACGTGTAGTGTCAAATCACTTTTAATACTATATATTAATTAATAGCTACAGGCATGCTTCCAAGATAAACTAGTTTGCATTCGCACTAATTTCGTATTCTTAAAAGATCGCATAGCTCTAAGTACCTAGCTCTAGGTTATCCATCTGCCACATGTTTAGAGAATTGAGCGAAGACTCCGTATTAGGATGTAGGGGTCCAAGGATCTTTCCCTGTAGCTCAACGCACTTTTTCATTAGTAAGATAGCCTCTGTATTTTGGCTCTGGGACTTCCACGTATGCGCCAGGTTGGCCATGCTGGTCAGCGTGGAAGGATGCTCGTCCCCAAGCACCCT